AAATACGAGATACGAATACGGCGCAGAAGAGGAAGAGGAAGAGGAAGGAGAAGGAGAACTGGTGACTGGTGACTGGTGACTGGCGCGGCGCGGTGATGTTGTGAAGATTTAGATTTCTCACGTCCGAGTCCGAGTCCGAGTCTGAGGCATCGATGCGACATGGAAATGCGAACGAGAACCAGAACCAGAACGAGGCAGAGATACATACATAGTACATAGTACATACATACACACACAGAGGGGGGGCGGCATACAACAACACCAACACGTCGGGTGTAACACCATAGCACGCCAAGGTCCATACATACATACATACACTAGAACTAGAACTCAAACTAGAACTAAAACTAAAACTAGAACTAAAACAAAAACTACAACAAAATCCAAACAAAACCCCAAACAAAACAAAAAATCACAACACCATCAGCCCCCATCCAAACCCTCAGTGGTTATTGTAGACGCTTGATATAGGTGTCCTCCTCCCCCCCTCTCCTCCTCTCCCCTACGCAGTCTTCGCACTCTTCTCCTACTTCTTCTTCGCAGTGCAGCTCGCAGTTCGCAGCTTCGCAGACAGAGAAGCGAAGCCGAAGCACAAGCCGAAGAGGAAGAGGAAGCACAGGGTCCAGGGTCCAGGGTCCGCTGGTTCTGGTTGGTTTTGGTTGGTGCTGGTTTCGGTGCTGGGTTCCCACGTGGGGGGCGCGTACTAATGGAAACGGGGAGGGGAGGGGAGGGGAGGGGAGGAGAAACTCCGATGCATGAGCGGTATATGTATATATTTCAGTTCAGTTTCAGTGGCGCTTCATGCATGCAATGTATATGATTCATTGACATTCTGTCACGAATTGAAACATGTATATGTATATATGTATATGTCTATTTCTGTGTAATCTCATGATGAGACAGTCTATCTCTATCTTAATTCAACGGTTCTGCAATCAATCGTGACTTGCTCAAGCTCGAGATGGAATGTTATGCGATGGCTGTAGCTTGCACTTGTACCGCACGATGCCGTAAACCCAAGATGGGGTGGACCTTTGGCCGCCGGGAACAAAAACAAAAACTAAAAGGTCCTCGCTCGTCTCGTCATGCCATCCGCTGTTGGTACCCCCTAACCACCCCCAGAAGTGATAGATGTAGGTACTGTGAATGGCAGGGGCAGGGGCAGCTCCTGACGCTGACGGTGATGAGGATACGGATCGGAGGATTGGATTTAGGTTGTGAGGGCGGTCGTGGACAACCCCTGAGGTCACCCCTAGTCGTCGGCGTAGGTCGCAGCGTGCGTCACAACGCGACGTAGGGTTGGTTGTCCAGCGCGACGCGACGCGACGTGTGGTCAGGGTCGGAATTTTGCTGGTACGCAGGAGACGCCGCGGGAGATGAGTTGCCTCGTGGAGATCGTCGTGTGTGTGGTTCTTGGGGTGAGGATCTGCTTCTAGTGTGTGTGTGCATGTTTGATTTTGGGTGACATGACGCGTGGGAAAGGAAGACACCCGAGAGATTGGTACGGGATGGGATATAAAATGGAAAAACGAGAGAGGAGCGGCAATGACTCGCGCGGACTCGCCCATCCTCGGATTTGACGGAGAGCACTCGGACGATCCGCTGCGGTTCCCGTCGCCCAATTTCCCGCCGCGCGACCTGTGCAGCCCGCCGCGTGCGTCCGTGCGCAACGCCGTCTATCTCGACGACGCCGCTGCGCTGTTCCCACGCTGCGTCTCTGTCGCCTCGTCGCTCGACGAGTACAGCGAAAACAAGATTGCCGCCCTCGAGCACGTGCGCGCCCTCTACTCGTCCCCGTCCCAGGTCTACGTCGGCCCCGCCGCGCCCACGTCCTCGCGCTGGTCGACGGCGTCCTCCATCCTCGCCGTCCCCGTCCGCCCCCCAAGACGCAAACGCCTCACGTCCCTCTTTGCGCGTCTCCTCGCCTCGGCCTCGTCCACGTCCATCCCCGAGCCACGTGAGATGCACAAGGCCTACCTGGCCCGCGACGACCCGCCCATCGCCCTCGACCTCCGCCCCCCGCCCGTCCCCCCAAAGTCCCACGTCGACCTCTCCCTCGACACCGAGCCCCGCCGCGCCAGGCTCAGACAACAGCAAAGCATGGCCACACTCAACTCGTCCATCTCCAGCGGCTCCTCCTACGCCTCCTCCCTCTCCCTCTCCACAACAACCACGTCCCCCCCGCTCTCCCCCGTCGCCACGCCCCCCAACGAAAAGCGCCACCGCGGCCTCAAGGCTATCCTCGCCTTCAGACCACGCTCCCGCGTCTCGTCCCTCGTCCCCCCCGTGCCCTCGTCCCCCCGCAAACGCCTATCAATCCGCCTCTCAGCATCCACCCACGTCCTCCTCCCCCCCAGCCCACGCGGTCCCCCCCCGCCCCCGCCTGTCCCCCCCAAAGACACGCATTTCGTGCGCACCCTTGATCAGGAAGAGTACGCGCGCGCACGCGGATGGGGCCTCGATGACCGCGGCAGGGTGCTCGTTGGTCCCCAGTTTGGGAGTCTCATTTGTAAGTCGCCTTGTCACTTTTTTGCTGGCTGTGTGCTGATCCACCTTTGCTAGAAAATGGGCTGTGCGATTCAAGATTTTTATTTTATTCGTATTTCATTGAGTATATTGTGATGGAGGCAGTGGCTGGTTCGCTGCCTCTTGATTGGTTGCTTTTTTTTCTTTCCTTTCTTGCCGTCGTTGCCCGTCTGGTCCTGCCGTCGCTGCCATCACCATCGTCCTGCCACGTCCCTGCCAACTCAACCGTCATCTGCATCACCATCAGACCCATATCACATCACATGTACAACACACTCTTTTCTCACTCATCTACACATGTACAACCCCCCACACTCGTTTGCTTTCCTTTCTACTAACATCACCCACTCACGACACTCACGCTCCTTACGCCCCCCACCCTCCTTGTATACATATCATCATCATCATCATCGGACTTTGGTTCAGTTCGGATCCGGAAACGAATGGTTCATGAAATCATGAATGGATCTGGATCTTGCTTTTGCTTACTTGTACACACATATGCGCACGCTCTTTTAACTCATTTACTCGACGGGCGGACTTTGGCTTGGCGGCTTGGCGGCTTGGGTTTTGGATTCGGGCTTTGGCGTTGATGGACGGCCGGGAGGGGAGAAGAAGGAGAATGTATTATTTTGTATAGAATGAATATATGAATGAATAAGTGTGAGTTTGAGGTGTAGTTGATGTGAGATGTGAGGTGGGGTTACAGAATCACAGAAACAGGAACAGGAATAGGAGATAAATAAAGGTTGGGTGGCGATGTGGCCTCCCAGTGCACCTTGTAAGTAACAGCCCAGCAAGATTAAAAAAAAAACAAAAATTCGATATACTCCGACAATTGAGAGAGTCGATCCAGGGTCGAACTGGGGTGTTTGTGGCGGTTCATGGATCAAGTCTGCCATATGCTTGGGGGCTCGTAAGGGAAACACAGTAAATGATGTATATATCCTTCAACAGTTAACGATGAGTCGATCCAGTCTGCCATGTTATATGCGCTAGATTGAGATACTTAGGTGCGGGATGAGTGTGCTATTGCTATTGACTCGTGACTTGTTCGTGATACTGGGTGTTGGGTGTTGGGTGTTGATGTATCGATATCGAATGTGGACAAAAGAAGAAGAAAAAGAGTCAGGTCGACCCAGGATTGAACTGGGGCTTGTGTGCACTGTGCATGTTGTTGGTACGTGTGTGGGATAGATGCGAGGAGGGTACGTCATTGACTCATGGTGTGTTAGGATGTGTATTGGTTTGAGGTGGGGCGGGAGATGAGGAGGATTGAGCATAGCGAGGTGAGATGGTGTCTTTGTGGAAAGCGGCAAGCGACAAAATGGCATGGTATGGTATGGTATGGTATGGTCGTGTATGTATGTATGTATAATGAGTTGATCCAGGTTTGAACTGACTTCTGTGGCACTCTACTATAGTGTTCTGTTCGAGAATGTGATAAGAGACGAGGCTATGCCATCCCGTCGACGGTGGGTGTCTGATTTATCAATTGTATGTGGACTCCATATAATATATAATATAATATAATATATATGAGTGATCCTCCAACTTCGTTATGTAGCACGTTAGACAGATGTGATTATGGTAGGGTGTTTAATTATGTATGTATGTATGTGAAGTACAACTTGAAAAGTAGACATTACATATGAGCGCATCTTAAACTTTGGAGTTGAGTGATAAAATACTACCGAAACCTGTTGAACTGGGGGCTGCCTTCTGTGACACTTACAGCGTTGAAGAATAGAGTGGTTGGATATTAACCCGGCTACGCCATCGACCCGCTAGTGTGGTCTGTGGGGGACATTGATGTGTAGGTATTGTTGAAATGCTGTTTGCTATATAACAATTGAGAGCGGTTGGATAACAGAAACAGAAACAGAAACAGAAACAAAAAATAAGCTTGGCTGCTGACGAGCCGACAAGTGGGCCTCGTATCGTAAGTATGCACAGCTGGGGCTGCTTGCTGCCAAGTCCAGCCCAGCCCAGCCCAGCAAAAATAAAAATAAATGATATACTTCAACAATTAATGACAATGAGTCAACCCAGGGTCGAACGGGGGGGGGGGGTTTGTGGCGGTCCATGATCAAGTCTGCCATATGCGCTAGAATTGAGACAGATGTGATCTGAGTATGCCATCGACTCGTTCGTGGTATATATACTGGATGTGGTGGTTGATATATCGATATCGATAGGTATTGATTTGGGGCGTGAGATATGGGTGATTGTATCGAACTGCCGAATATTTTTATGTGTTGACCCAGGATTGAACTGGGGGGTTTGTGTGTGGTTGTATGTGTGAGGGCTACGCCATCGACCCTTGTTGTATGGGTATCTCGGTCTGGATTTGAGGTGTGTTGATATATGCAAGGTCTGAGGATTTGTTGGACCAGAAAACTAAAAAGTGCTTGCGGGGGGTTTTGATAGTGTGGACAACAGAAAGAAAAAAAAACGATCTAGCGCTTTGCACATGAGTCGACCCAGGTTCGAACTGAGGACCTTCTGTGTACATCATATGTTAGACAGATGCGATAACCAACTACGCCATCGACCCATGTTTCATGACAATCTGTGTTTGCATGTGACAAGTGGATCAAAAGATCTGATTTTGAAGCTGTATTTGTGGACCAGACAAACAAAACAAAAGTACTCCTGCTTGCTTATCTAAAGCCGTTGTGAGTCGACCCAGCTTTGAACTGAGGACCTTCTGTGTACATTAAATGTTAGACAGATGCGATGACCAGCTACGCCTTTCCTACGCTAGAGCAATGTGGACGAGAACTACATACGCTCGTATCGCATGGCCGCTGGCACTTCTGACCTACATACATCGGCTCCGGACAAGGTCATCGGTGTACCAATGTTAAAGCTGAAGCTCTCTAACTTTAAGCATCTTCGTAAACTCACGCGTTTACGATTCCCCGAAATTCAGGCTGAACCTCTTTGATGCGAGAATCCTGCCTAGAACACACTTTCTTCGCTTGTGTAGAGAGAAGACCCGGCTGAAATCATTGCGAGAATGGTGTCGTGTCGATCATGAGCGTGCGGTGCTCTGAGGTCGGGGTGTATACTAGCTTGATACAGGGAATGCTCCGATAGTCGGTTCGTATCTACCAAGAAACGACAGTGACGTCTAGTCTCCATATCTGTGGCCAATCTAGTTCCATCAAATCCTCAAATAATCGATTTTATCAACCTGCTCGAGCAAAACGACTCATCGGCTCGTCGGCACTTCAACCAAATGTCATCGGTGCACCATCCAAGTTATTCCTCCATATGTGCGCATCGGTGATCCTTCTTGCCGGTATACCAAGTTCAATCTGTACTTCTCTATCCCTACGGTGACACGTACTCGCTCTTTGTCCTCAACTGTTTAAACTCTCCTAAGCTGTCACTACTGCCTGCCAAGATGTTCCAAAAATTCTGACGATGCGGTGTCACTTGTATGTATGAAAAAAATGTTTCACCGGTGATGTTATCAACTAGCAAAAATGAACCTGCTCAATGTCGCTGACAGTGGTATCCGCTTCCGAATGATACGGGTCGCTCGCGCTTTATCAAAAGTTATCAGTGCACTAACCGACTTGTCCCTCCGTCTGTGCTTTGATGGAATTTAAGCAGCATCAGATCGTCCGTTTCAATGCGGTCGGATTTAAATGTTGAATCGGTGTTGATAGGCAATGGTATCGAGCATACTTTACCCAACTGGACGTCACTCGTTATAGAAATGCTCCAATAGTTTATTCTATCGACCAGCAAAATACTAGGCCTGAAAGAGAAGAGAGCTCGTCAAGCATCCATGGTATACTCCTGTCAATGGTATCGAGCATACTTTACCCAACTGGATGTCACTCGTTATAGAGATGCTCCAGTAGTCCATTCTACCGACCAGCGGAGAGAGCTCGTCAAGCATCCATGGTATACTCCTGTCAATGGCTAACGAAGAACCGCGTGCTATAGGCTTTTTGGCTTGTAAAGTAATCATTCTGATGACATTGCTCGCTTTCTCAGAAAGGATCTTTCCGATTGACTGAAAGTTCGGGAGATTACTATTGACGCGAGCTCGTCGTGGTCCTACTCCTACCTGGTGTTGGTCTGGCAACATATCAAATCGCCTCTTCGGTTCAGTGGCTTGATCAAATTCCACTTTTTGGGTCATGTTCTACTAAAGCCGTATGCTACTTTGTGTGTTCCACTGACTTCTGTGTCATGTTCTTCCTCAACATTTGACATCTCGGTATATCTATATCTTCGTGCAAGCTGTATGTCATGTATCTCATAATCAACGATTGAAATCTCATTTCGGTGGATCTTTCAGTCATTGATCTGACGTGTTCAGAACGTGTACAACTATCAGGGATTTATTGAACATCCATTCTGCCATTCAGATTAGACGCTGGGACAACTCATCGCCGCTGATAACCGATGATCCAATCGGGTCATGCGGATGGCGTCACGTCTTGTCTTTAATCGTGAGTGAAAGCATCTATGAAGACTATTTCCTGCTCAAGTCAACACATCCTTATATATCCTTCCCTCGGTAGTCACTGGCTTTGAATCGAGTTATTGAGATTTGATGCCGTCATCAGGTTTTCACTGACATTCGGCAACTTCATCGCGACAGATAGCCGTCTGGGTTCGGTTCCTTCTTATCGATCTGTCTAGTCGTCTTATAAGGACATAGTGATGTTAGAAAGCCGTGTACAGTGAGCCCTGCATTACGCTACGTAGGATGTCAACAAGCCGTCCATGGAATGCTCCGATTGTCGTAAATGATGGTATCCCTCTTAGGAACGCAATCTCTGGCGTTTCCCGATGACATGAACTTCTTATCTGCGCTCATATCGTGCGATGTCCTATATCCCTGAAGTGTGTGCTTGTTCGGAGACGAGGACAATCTGTGGTGTCCGTAGGTAATCAAAAACTATTCGTGGTACTTATGTTGATTGAATTTGATTCAAGTATTCATATTGACACAATTGTTTTGGTGGACATCGTTGTTGGTGCTAGAACGTCTGCAACGCGATGTGATCTCTGCTAGCCCTCACAATGTCTTCACCAGACAAACCCATGACACCGCCGATTCTGGTTGAATACTCACAAAATAATAGGTATATAGGGCCAATCGGTCACTGTGTTGGAGATTCTCAGAAAGTGAATCATATGTACTACACCCTCGGGCTCCTCGAGCTCTTTACGTAGCGAAGAAATGACTTAGTGCCACTAATCTGGATACGATAACTTGAAAGGTGATGCCAACTCTCCTATTCATTCTTAGGTATGGAACAAAGTTTGTCCGATGACAGATATTTTTAAGCAAATTAGATCACACCCCAACCAATGCGCCACAAAAATAGATTCAACCTTCCGAATGTACTACCTCACAACGGGTATCACCCATGATCCTCAGCAATATGGGGTCCAGATCCTCTAATGAGGTTTGTTTTCCTCGAGTAATTGTTTCCTGAACATTCCGAACTTGCATGGCAACTCCTGTCTCCCATTGCGGACGTGGACGAGGATCTTCACTTGGCCTTGCGTGATTGAGTCTAGATATTACCGTCGTGATGTCCGGGCGTTCAGATGGCTTCTTCCTCCAGCAATCTACGAGTAAGTCCCAGATTTGCTCGGTCAGTCCTCGTTCACTCCATGAGAGATCTTTGGCAGGAGGGCGTGTAGGAAGATTCCCTCGCATGATCTTGATCGACGCTGCAATTTCACTTACTTCAAAAAATGGCCACTTATCAGTGAAGATCTTTTTACAATATGGTCAGAACGATGGATATGAACTCAAGAGATATCTACCTCATAACATGTTGATGCCCAAGCAAAGACGTCACTCTCCTTTGTATTGGGAGCGGTGAGTTCGAGGTCGTGCAATTCTGGAGCCTGCCATCGACTAGCTCCACCTTTAGATGTTGCCGATGATTGTGTAGCCCATCTAATAATACTTTCGTCTGTCAATCCAGCAAGGCCAAAATCACTGATACAGGCCCTTCCAGACCCATCCACAAGGATATTCAACTGTTTGATATGAATCAATACACAAAGACAACCCCAGTGTCATAGACGCACGGCTTTTAGATTTCCATGAACAACTCCGTTTGCATGTAGATATTCAAGGCCTGCCGATGTATCCATACACTAACAGAAATTCAACAATAGAAAGATTGACCGGTAGTGTTTGTCCAAGTTACTCACAAGGAGCACCCTGTTTAAAGCACTAGGTCCTTGTTGAAGATACTTAGTGATATTACTGTTTTCAGCCCAGGGTGCCACGAAGGCAATCTGGGAGCGGAAAAGATGTAGCCCATAAAATGGTAGTACATTGGGATGGCACAACTGGCACCAAAGAATTGCTTCTCGTGCATATACCTGGACTGAAGGGTAAGCAGTGCATCTACAGGCACCCAAAAGGATCTGACCTTTGCCATCCGTTGAACTAGATCACCGTATGCTCTCACAACTTTCAGGCATGTTGGCTTCCCGTGAACTGTTGCTTTGTAGATTTCCGCAAACCTCCCAGAATCGACTGGATAGTCAGAACTCAACTTAACAGGTCCGTTGAGAAAGTATCGCAGCGGATAAAACTCGGTTCTAGTAGAAAGCCTCTGCATTGCAACAATCAACTTTGCGCGATCCGGGAAAGTTCTGGAATCTAAGAGCTTTTCAAGTATTGTAGTAGATTAGAATCTCAACAAGATTCGGCATCTGTGTCACATACCAATTGAAAAACATCCAGGATAGTTTGAGCATCATTTCCAACACATTGTACAAGGATTCGGTGATACCGAGCATCTGCTAGGACGGCGTGTATTGCCATTTCTCGAGCTATAGTTGCCAACGTCTCTGATTTTGCCTCCCTTGCCTTCATAACACCTTCTCGCGCCCTGAGTTCGCCCTCTCTAGCCTTCATTACATCTTCTCGTGCTTTAAGTTCCCTCTCTCTATCCTGGAATTCTTGCTCCTTCATCGTTGTGTCTCTCCACTCTTGCCGCCGTCGATCAAATTCCTTCTCAAATCTTCCACCCTCCTTCCCGGATTCTTCCTTGTTTTTCTGAAACATTGCCTTGATTTCTCTTCCACGGCGCTGAAATTCTTCCTTCTTTCTGAATTCCTCCTTCTCGCTATATTCCTCTTCTCTCTTTCTGAGTTCCTTCTCCCTCTTTATGAGTTCTTTCTCCATCTGTCTGAGTCCTTCCTCTGAGTACTTCAGTTCCTGCTCTCGTTGCCAGGTTTCCTACATCAATAGAGTAAATTGTACACTTCATGGCGAGCCAAATAGGCTAGGAGTGTTCACCTGTGTCAAAAGCTCATTGAGAAATCTTATCACCATTCTTGTTCCTTCCTTGACTCTCTCTCGGTCAACTCCGATGATTCGTGGCAAGTATTTGGCTTCAAACCAGTCTGGGTGCCATTTCTTGATCATCTCTTGTAGACGATCCCTTAGCGGCTTGGCCTTTTCCCTATCAGGAAGAAGGGGAGACTGCAGGTACGTGGTCACTGTGGAGAGCGTTATATCTTCCGGGGATTGAGGTGGAAAGAACATGGGCCACGGAATGGACCCCCAATGGAGGCTGGTGGCAGACGAAATCAAAATGTTCCACTGGTATTCGTGACGTTCCAAAGTGGAGAGAACTTGTTCAGGACTCTCTGTCCTCTGCCTTGTTTCTTCGAAACGCAGTTGTTCCTTACGGAACTTCTCTTGTTGCTGCTGAGAAAACTCTTCCTGCTTGCGCTTGAATTCAGCCTCATCAAAAGCAGGGGAAGGATGAGATGAAGGAGTCGACGTGGGGAACAATGCATTCATGGAGCCAGATCGTGATTTGGATGCTGTCGATGCTGAGCTTGCCTTTGACGCGGCGTTTGGTTTAGGCAAAGAGCTCCAACTCGGTGTTTGTCCATTGATACTCATGGCAGATGTATGGGGGTACGAGTGGGCAGAGAAACTTGATGAAGATGTGTAAGATGAAGGGAAAGATCCACCCATACTGTCCTGTCGTTTGCGTTCATGAATTTCCTGCTCACGCCGCCGTAATTCCTCCTGTTGCTGTTCATATCGAAATTTCTCTTCCCGCTTCCATTGCTCCTTGAGCCGCCTCTGCTCCTCTTCTTCATCGAACTGTTTCTGCAATCTCTCAGCCTCCTTTCGAGATTTCTCCACTTCCTTCTGTAACCTCTCTGCCTTGATTTCCCTTTCACGGCATTGAAGTTCCTCTCTCTTCTTCAATTCTTCTTCCTGGAACTTCATTTCCTGCTCTCGCTTCCAAGTTTCCTCTCGTACCCTACGGGCTTCCTCTCTGGCCGCTACCTCTTTTCTCCTCACCTCCTCTGCCTTTCTACGCACCTCTTCCTCTTTCCTTCTCACCTCTTGTTCCTTTTTGTCCTTTTGCAACCTCTCCTTTTCCTGGTCTGTCTTCCCGTGTCGCTCCTCCTGCCTCTCCCGCTCCTTTCGTTCCAATATACAATGAGCTTTTTCCTCTTGCTGCCTCTGTTGCTCCATAATTGTAGGTGAATCTGGTGGCAGCTGGAAAGATTGTGTAATGGATAAGCTTTTGTGCCTCTGGTTCAAGTGTTCCATTCCGTCTGAGGATCTCTCCCTTCTCCCTTCAGCAAGCTGCTGAGTCATGACACCATTTTGGGCATGGAATGAGGATGAAGGGCCAGACAATGAAGAGGATTGCTCAGGGGCACTAATGCTCTGAGTATCGATGCGAGTTTCCATGATTCTGTTCATGGTATCCTGCTGCTCCTGAACAAGGGCCTCATTACAGCTGACGATCATGTTCACCTCAGCGGCCCAACGGCGTTCATGGCGTTCGCGCTCCAATTCAACCAGGAAGGTGTCTTGTGCGAGCTTTCTTATGTTATTCATAGTCTCGTTAAATTCTCGAATGATGGACTCCCGCTGTGCGTCAGGCAACGTTCCCTTGCTGAGCTCTGAGTGGTAGATCTTCTTGGCGTCCTGGGCCATGGATGACAGACCGTCCTCGATCTTTGCTTGTAGCGCATCTTTCCATGCTTGATCTGGCTCTAATTCAGTGCTGACAGCGTCGTACAGTGGTATTGGTGTGGGAGATGCCAACGTTGTCATCTCCAATAGGACAGTGGTCTCGTAGCTTGACACAGTGATCGTGAAGCCTAGCAAAATGGAGACAACAATGGACAGGACAGTACTGGGCAAGAGGGGTTGGCAATTGCAAGCGATAATAAGTTGTTGAAGGTCAATTAAAAGGTCCTTCTAGGCTAAGTACTGATCAATGATCAGTGGACGGCAAGCCTCGTAGTCAGTACACGTGTAGATAGAGAAAATGTTCGTGAGTATTTGTATGAGCCACAGCTGAGATCGCTGGGCGTCGAGCGCTTCAACCTTTCCCACCCGCGCTTCAACCTCTCCCACTCCTGACGCAGAAAGCCCTTTTGTTCTGATGGTGCACGTGTTGTAATCAGTGACAACACGTGCACATTTGGACCGTGGAGCAAGGTCATGTAAGTGTTTTTGCACGTTCTTCTTCCCCTATTTGGTCATAGATAAATATCACTATTTGAAAGTTCTTCTGTTCAATGCGGTGACTCAGTATTGGAAGAAACTTGGAGGCACCAGTACGTGAGTCTGAAATTGAGAAGCTAGGTCAAAAGCATAAGTTGCTTCATTATCAATCGGACCTTCTGCTCTTCCTGGCACATTATTTTTGAACATATTAGAACGATGCGAAATGAGGAGGACCAAATTGACCCATGATATGCATCTTGTAGGTTGTCTGGGTCTTAAGCCGCCAACCAATTTATTTCAATGACTGGTTATAGTCAAAAGTTCCTCAGTACTTAATGATCTAGTAAAACAGATGCGATAGCTGGCTATGTCATTTTTGTGGGTTTTGTATGTAGTGTCAGCAAAAGGAAAGTGATTAAGAATCATGTATGAGTCGACCCAGGTTCGAACTGAGGACCTTCTGTGAACAAGGAAGTGAAGATCTATGTAAGACAGATGCGATAACCAACTACGCCACCAACCCATGTTTGAAGTGGGGTAAAAAGGGAAGCCTATCTATCAAACGTGTCGAGGTCCAGTTAGTCTGTCACAAAGGAAAAAAATATCAATATTGAATGGAGTTGACCAGAGTTGACCCGGGATCATCTATGCGTGAGCATGCGCTGAACATTTATGTTTGACAGATTGGCAATAGCCAGCTACATAGGACCATTGACCCCTTTGCTCCTCTTTTTCCCTTCACTGGCAGGACTCTCAATGCCCAAACTTGAGTGAAAGGCTGTACACAATGAAAGAATGCTTCAACGCTGACCCGGTCCTCGCTAGCGTATTGATGATCTATATAGAAACCAGACAAATGCTAACTTGCCAATTTGACGCCACAGTCGATCAATGTTTCACGCCGACATTAGGAAACTTAATTCCTTCCGTCAGTGTGTCGATCGACAATGTGCTCACTCGTGTCCAATAACACGGTTCTCTTACATGTGTATAAGACTTCCAAAGGGATTGCTTGTGGGATGAAGACTTCTCCAGATGAGATGGTACTGCGAACTCAGAGCTGATCGTGTCAGATTTAGTCATCAGATGTAAATTTGTAAATGCGGTTGACGTCACAACTCTGAGTCCAAGCCTAAAATAAGAACTCCAATTCTGGCTGTGTGTTTTATACTGCGGAAATATGTCACGGCTGATTTACGCATGTGGGCATGGGTTTACTGCCTAGGTTGTAGCGTCATCAAATGATGGGCAAGATCAATCTCTTTGGTCAATGTTCATTGATGGTTTTAGTCAACACTTCCTCCTGACTTTCACGAGTCACTAAAAAAACAAGAACTTAGGGATGCACGAGTCGACCCAGGTTCAAACTGAGGACCTTCTGTGCACGCGAAACATTGCGAATATCAATGTTAGACAGATGCGATAACTAACTACGCCGTCGACCCATTAAACGATGTACTCTGCGGATTCGGTCAGGCCGTCAAACTACTATTAATCAATGGTGATGGGCGATAACAAGTTGAGGCTCCCTCGCCTCTTTTTTTTTTGTTTCTGTCGGCAGGTTCCAGATTTACCTGTGAAAGAACCTTTGCTCGATGACGGCACTGTCTGAAGTCTATAAAATCGGTTGCCTCTATTGACATCAATGATGATCATCGTAAAACGCTAAATCTAAGTAAGAGGGCTGTCGAGCTATGTTACTAGCTAACGAACTCCGGGGGACTCGGGGCTTCCAGCTTATTCAATATAGTTAACTCTTCTGGCCCCCTACAATGGATTCTTCCAGCTGACTGTCGCGGGCTCGGATGACTCCTTGAAATTAGATTCACGAAAGACTTGTAATCAATACTAGGATCCCGCCTGTTTGAGTATTATTTTTTACTGCAAGTTAAATGCCATTCGCAGAACCGCAAACTCATTCTTGTCTGTCCAGCGGTTGGCCTTTATGTTTTCTCAAATCTCAACTTATACTTCCTCCGAGTCAATAATCGGTTCTGGATGCTGTCCATTAGGCCTTGGCATTTACTAATCATGACGAACAGGGCAGGGTCAAGAACAGGCCAACTGAGCTTTTTATGACTGATTGTTCGAATAGTTCGACGATTTAATAGCAAGCTGCTCTCATCATGTTCACTTGTCCGCGTCTATATTCGGATAAAGCTCGAACGATGCATCTCAGAAACCCGCGCTCGGTCTTGAAACTGTACTACATTATGCTATGTCAGAGGTGTCAACAAGCCATTCCACAGCGCTCCAAGTTACCGACATGGTGGCATCATGTCGTACATTGCGGTAAACGACATCGAAAGGCACAATGATTGGTTGGGCGCATGTAGAATATCTTATCTGAACCAATGAAAAGACCATCCGACAACAGGTGCATCTCTTTGATTTAACGATGTCTCATATCAACACAAATGCTCGTCATTCGGTCCAGGAACCCGGGGAAGCTTGTAAACAGGTGCCACGCGATAGAGAGCATGCCTTCAAGGTTCAAGTTTGTGATGATATAATTTGGGATGTGACGAAAATGCCAAACGGACGAGCTGAGTGTTTTGTTGATACGATTTGTCAATGCGCATTTGGTGCAGGGGAATGCTCAGGAGTCGAGATCACCTGCAGAATCCGAATAGTGTTGGGCAATCATCAAATCCGAATGTTCGATATTCGGTCAAACTTGTTGCGTGTAGCGGTCAGGGTCTTGAAAAGTTCCGGACGGCATCTGTGTATCGCAAATTCCCTAATCCAGCTGTTTAGAATCGCACGGTGGGACTCGGAGGTCGAAAGAGTTTATTTGTTTGATGATTCCACTCTCAAGAAAGGAAGGCGAGCGCCGGAATGCAGTCTTTTTTCCTCTCTTCTCGAACCGCTCGCGGAGAATTGGGACACATAAAATGAGACATCCTGAATACCTGCAGTGTGAGAACCAAAGGCACAATTAAAGAGCCGTAGTACAAAGAGTATAGTTGTTCCGAGGAAACATTGAATTGAGAAACATGAGGCAGACGAGCGATGGTACTGTATCCGAACATTTATGGCAGTATCAAACCGACACGGAGGGTGAGGTCATGGTGCCTGGATTCGACTGGCTAGGGGTCATCCAGACTCTCAGCGGAGGAGCGTTGATTACGGTCACCCTGGAGCGCGTTTTGTGCAATCTATATCAAGAAGGCCGGCACGATAATGAGACGCAATTCCTGTGTACATCCTCAACTTCTAACTCAAGCAGAGAAGCTTATGATCATCGATGAGCGAGGGAAACATCTATCCAATGTTGCATACATGATGAAATAAGCCATGCCATGATACTAAGGGCAAAACGTGCGCCAACCACGAGGACAGAGTGGGGCAATGGGACCTTTCATCTGGTAAGTAGGTGGCAATATGTATTTTCGTAAGGTAGTAGGTCTTCTGTTCTGTTCTCTTGGACACAGGACTGCAGCCTCCCTCAAAGAGACTTCGGAGTTTACTTCAAAGTAAAGCATAGAGCAAGTCAAAAAATCATCAGCTGAGAAGAAGCACCAAAGTTCAAACACTTGAAATTGGAAGGTTACAACGGTTACGGCCGTACCACGCATGTCACATGTTCACGTGATGATACTATCTGTGACTCAATTATAGAAATTGAATGTTAATGTGAACTGCTTGGTTGGTGGCTCGGAGTAAAACTCAAGTTTGTCTTCTACCTCTGCAGATTCATCTCTATTTTCTTTATTATATGAGCGTTACGACACATGCTCAGGGCGATCAAGCTTGCACAGAAATTCTATCATCTACGAAACGATGCATACCAGCAACCGCTGAACCAACCTTAAATGAGCTCTGGAAATGGACGCTTACCCGTGAAGCTATCGCGTCATGCTTTGTCAACGATGTCTTCGTTATGAGAGAGAACGCGACCAAAGGCAAGTTCTGCAACGCACACCTGGAGAGTTCTCCGACTGATCTCATTCAAAGAAGTTGATTTTTATTGGTTGGGTCGTGTACCATGCAGAAGTGTGAGGATTGCAGGACTTCTAGTGGGTATTCAGGTGTATGAGAAGCGTATACGCTATACAGGTGATTCAGTATGGTCAATACAGCAATAATGAGCTCAAGTGCTTTTTCAAGTGGACGACGGAACAGCTGTTGTAGACTGTCTCCATAAACAATCGCCTCCCCCTCGTTCTTCAGTCAAGGACACAACAGATAGTAGAAACCCTCCCATGAACACAAAATCGAAAGCTCTATCTTGGCAGCCAAAACCTCTTGCTCGAGTTGGAAACTCTATCATTGTGACTGGGAGAGTAATTAGAAAGTACGACACAAGGGAAATTATCGTTGAAAGTATAGGTGCGTATTGAATCTCTCGAACACTCTTCTTTTTAATCCTGCTTAGGTAAAGTAAGTCGAAACGACGAGGTTCAACACTGGGCGCGTGTACATCAGTTACATGCAGAACACTACTTTCTGTCTACACTCTTTGAGATTCCAACGCTATCTTCTTCTCCATGCGAAGTCTCTACCATCGTAGCTCCAGCTACACCCGTAAAAAACGTAGCCACATCTAGACACGATGTCTGTGATGCTGAAGCATTGATGCCTGCTACAGCCCTGGCTATTTCTCATAATACGACTAGCCCAGCTTCAATTCAAACGACGCCAAGCAATACTCGTACTATCAGCCCTTCTCCGTCCCTAACTTCGAGTCCTGCGAAGTCAGCTGCTACACAGGTACATCCACTCTTTCCACGTCTACGGTTTCTCATGCATGATCTCTCTAGTCACCTCAGAAACTTCGCCATCCTTCGCGTCTTCATTCCCGAGATCTCAATGGCAATACCTTCCGCATTTATGTGAAGCATTACATGGATCGCATGGTCTATGACAGTCCTACATCCGAAGCAGATAATGAGTCCGACACTCGTTTCATTGACGAATGCCCTACGACCCCTACAAGACCCTCCCCGCATTTTGCAACAGATGATACACCACGTGCAGGCTCTTCGAAGCCACCCGAATTAAGCAAAGCACCCCGGCCACGTATATCACCACTCTCCTTTGATGGACAGCTCCACCTTGAGCACTCCTCTACTGTCAAGGATACTCCCATCATGAAAGGCTTCACACTCTCGTATCTACGCCGCGTCCCTGAACTGGCTGACATGGCCAAACGCGTGGTGAAAGCCGTTACAAAGCGGCGCCTACGCGAAGAACGTCACAAGGCTAAGGAAGCAGCAGCAGCTCGCTCCGTTAAGTGCACACAAGCGAAGGCCAGCACAGGGCCTCGTACTGGCACAGTCATGCAAGTTGAGGGAGGAAATGGTCCTCGTATCAAACGGCTATTTCAGGCGACGATCGTTCAGCTTCTCAAAGAGGGGAGCATTGTCCTATGGGATGGTCCTATTTATCCGTGCCCTACTGCTGATAAACCGAAGGAACAGGTGGGCGGACTGTGGAAGGCAAACGTTACATCGACATCGACGGATAGTACGCTTTTATCAGCTGGTAGCGTGACAATCATTGGGGATGAGGGGGAAGAAGACGTACTTTCCGAGCCAGACAACAACGAGGAAGCGTATGTACCGCTGTCGCCAGCGTTCCTCGCGGAGGTCGTGGAGGAGGCGATTGGGAAGCTTACGTGCTCGCCGACGGTACCAGGGTTAGCTAGAGGGAAGAAGCAGAATAACAAGTGGTCTCGTGCTACGACGAAGGAGGGGATATTGGCGTTCTTGAGGAAGGATGATCGGTGGCGGTATCTGAGTGAGTGGAATATAAGGGAAGCACTGGATGTTCTAGAGGTGGAGCAGAGAGCATGGTGTATCGGAAGGGGATTGTGGGAGTTGAGTTTGTAATACTATTTCTCATAATTCTGGGACTGCTTACAAGTACTCATGGATGTACTGTTATAAATTCTAAGTACAAAATGTTTATATTTATACGATACACGACATATATATATTTTCTTTCTGACAGATTTCGGGATGGACAATTGCGCAGCAATCGCATCGCTGAACAATGCTATCATAACCGAAGAATGCTATCATAATCGCTGCGGTGAGCACAGCGCTGCTAGTCAGCGATCAACTGCGGAGGTGTCACTGAAAACAAGGTACACCGCCACAATAACATCCGTGATCCATACATAGGTCGGTGACTTCCGAGATAACCCTCCGTCCACTCCTCCCCTCCTTCTTTCTCTCTCTGCTACCGTTATCATGGAGGCTTTAAAGCTCCAGAAGAAATTTCCTGAGGTCTCGCGGGAAGAAATGTTCAGTCTCATTAATCGTTTCAAGTGAGACCCGATGTTACGACATTTCGTAAAGGGGAACACTGATGAGTTGGATCAACTTGTAGTGCCATCTCGACGGACACTCCTGGACGTGTAGACAAGTCTTCTGTTCTACACGCACTCCAAAATAGTGGAGAATCGTACGATAAGGCGCGTGAAACCTTGAAGAACGTC